ATCTCACCGCCACAACATTCTGATTAGTTGCGAGGAAACGTGGCGCGTCGTAAAGTGGCGGATAGTGGTTAATGGTGAACCATAAGCTGTTTTTGATTCCCTGAGATGCAGGTGGATTCAGGGGGTGGACTTCCTGCTCCTGCTGCGGCGATTTTGCACGTACGTTCTGCGTTTACGGGAAAGCATTCATATATGCGTGCGTGGGAGTATTTCCGTTTATGCGCATTATATTCTAGAAGTCAATTTAGCCAGACATCAAACGTTAAACTAAGCAGCAAAATAATGGCCCCACATTTCCTTGACCACGAAAGACCTCTAAATGCAGCAGCATTGGGTAGGGCAAGCAGAGAGACGCTGCTAAAATCTCAGGGCAGTTCTAGGTTGCCTAAATGTTGGATTAAGTTGACAACCTGTACCAACAACACACACTCACTTGCACCTGAGTCCTCAATAGAGGACTTGATCGTGGAGGCAAGGAGGATAAAGTACGTCACCGGGGGACTGGCTGGGATGAGAAGGCGCCACCCATTCAACGCCGTCTGTGACACCGGAGAAGAGCTTTCCTCGGTTCACGCTACAGTAGGGAAGTTGGCGACGTCGGCGTTCTCGTCAACACGAGTTTAGACATGAACATCGATTCGTTCGAACAATTCACAACCCCAATCGAACGTCTACGGTTGAAGAAAGTTGTACGCGAATACCAGCTTTGACAATCTTCGTCGTCTGCGTACCGACATTAAGCTATGAAGAAGAGTAAGACGACACGTTCTGTGTGGAAAGGTTCCGCAAAGAAGATCATACACTCTTTAAGGATATCATTAGAAGTATAAACGCTAGGACTGGTCAGAGAAAGACGTCCGAAGAACGTCACATTGGAACGAAAGAACTGGAATGAAACGAGCAAGCTGAGCGGCTGTTTCACTTTATCGCATCGACTAAGACCATTCATGGTAACTTACACTACCAGAAGCTTCGCTGTCAACATTCTGCATGGGAGTCTCCCAAAAAAGAGCACTATGCGACACTGAACACATCATAGTGAATGAAAAGTTTTGTCTAGCTGATGTTGTTGTTATCCCAAAATCCTACGGGATCAGATGATCATCGCCCATGTTCGCGCAAGATCACATTTCTCGTAGAAAAGCGAAAAGCTGTCGAATTCAAAAAAAAACGAAGTCCCAAGAACATCACAAACTGGGACTTATTCAGTTCATTAGTCGACTGCTTGGAAGATGCCGTTTTAGATAATATCGACAAGGAATACCATTGGACCGTTCAACATCTCCACTTTGTCGCTATGAAAGCTGAGAGTTAAATCACCAAGCCATTTCTGTTTCTAGACGTACTTGAACTAAGACACCAGCATGAAATCGCATGAGCTTCGAGTAACCTCCAGCTCACGTCGGAACGTGAAAAAGAATGCGGACAGGCGATAATAAAAGACATTAAAGAGAGAAGAGCAGCAGTTACGGTCGAAGCTTCGGAGGCTGCGAAAAGCACTCGCAAAGCCCGCCGAAGCTCCCCTAATTGTAAAACCAAGATGATTCCACTCCGACGCCCAGGTGGAATAGTTACAGCGTCCAGAAAGGCAATGGAGAAAATCACTGACGAATACTACTCGGATCTCTTCAATAGCCACGAGCACTTTTCGTCATATGAAATAAAGGAGGATGGATATGTTGTACCAACGGTTCTCCCTTCCGAAATCCGACATGCCATTTCGTCGGTGGAAAAATCGAACAGCACTGGGTCCGGACGGGATAAGATCTCAGCATCTGAAGAACTTTCCATCAGTCTTCATAAACAGACTGGTTTGGCTGTTCCACGTTGCCTGTCCGAATGCAGGATCCTTCCTAAGTAGAAGACCGCGCTTTTGTTCAAAAAGATGACTTCCAAGACTGCGCTTTTGTTCGAATAGGTGAGCTCCATGATATTGGCAACTATCGCCCAATCTGTTTGCTGTCTGTAGTCTATAAACACTTCACTGGAGTCGTCTTAAATGGGATTGACAGAACACTGGACCAAGGAGAGCCATGTGAGCAAGCATGGTTTCGTAAAGGACTCAATTTGATGAGCCATATCGACACGATAATAAGACTCACTGAAGTATCACTAAAGTAGAAGAGTCCGCTCTGGCTGACTTTCATCGATTTAAAGAAAGCTTTTGACTCAGTTGAGATAGAAGCCCTGGACAGTCAGGGACTCCCTACTTAGTATGTAAAAAATTTTGTGGGGCTATGTAAAAATTTGGCAACCAAAAGATGACCATTCTGTAACAATATTAATAATGGCATCAAAAGAAGGGTTAGGTAAAACGCGATGCCCTCTCGCTAAAATTATAAACCGCCACCATCGATAACGTCCTGCAAACATTGGAATGGGAGACCACGAAAAGGAGAGCCGACGATCCGCACTTACATCATCTTCACTCTGCTGATGACATCGTTTTTATAACACCACACATTAGCCAAGCGGAACGAATGCTTGACGATTTTGATAAAGCCTGTGGAAGAATTGGTCTTCGACTAAACCTCACAAAAACGATGTTCATGGGAAACAGATTGGTTACGCATGCCCCATTCATGCTCAGTGGAATGAATATCTCCGAACGCTCCAGTTATGTCTACCCAGGTCGGGAAATCAACTTGATGAACGACTTACCTTCAGAACCCAGCAGAAGGAAAGGAGCGCTTTCTGAGGCTTTCGAGAGCATCGTGGTTGTAGTGAACAGAACAATGAACACCCAAATTTGTGCCTTCCCTTTCCACTGCACGATAATTCCTGTAATACTTGGTGCAATGGAGTGGTAGAATAGTAGCACCGATCAACTTGTTCGTTGAGCGTGAAGTTCGATTCGGTTTGGCCAATGTATCAAATGTTGGTCCAATAGAATAGGGCTTTGGGTCAGCCTTCAACAAAGAATAATTACTAAATGGAAGTAGAATGCTCAACTCTGCACGAGTTCGCCATACGGGGCTTTTTTATGTAGGCGAGTAGAACAGCTTGGGATGTAACCGTTCATAGCATACAAAAAAGTTACAAATTCCCTTCCCAGCTAGCTGCGAGGTAAGTGCCATGATATGGTCGCTAAGAGACGATTTACAGAATATGCAAGGATGGATTTAGGATAATTACAAATAAACAGTTAATATAGGAAATATGCGATTTTATAGAAAATAAAAACTATTTGAGGAATAGTTACTATACTTCCTGACTTAACGTATGCGTCAGAAACGTGGTCGTTGCGTAATAGAGATGAAAAATCACTAAGCGTTTTTGAACGCGCAGTCGAATGGACTATGCTAGAAGTATCTCGTTTCACACAAGAAAGGAAAGGGATCTCAAGCTCCGACTTACCAGAACGATCAAAATTCAAACATGCCGTTCTCTATGCCAAAAGGTAGAAGATAAGGTGGGCTGGACACGTAATGCGTATAAATGACAACCAATGGACAGGAGCCGTTAGTGACTGGGTTCCCCGGGATGTCAAACGCACTGCAGGAAGACAAGCGACCCAAATTGTTAGAGTTCTCCACGAAGATCCTAGAGGAAAGGTATAATCGCAATGTTATCTTTTTTATTTACTGCCTATTACAATTTTTCACAGCAGGATGTTATGTGTGATACATCCCCCAATGATGCTGAGATATTAGCGAAACACCAGACCACCGGTGTCTGCGGTGAGGAACGAACGCTCTATTAACCTTTCCGAGGGCTAACGCGCTCACCGCCATACCATGTGGGTCTTTCATTTCGCCTTTCTCTCAGCTGGTTTTCTATCTACCGGTGTCATCTAGCATACTGAGTAGTACTCATAAAATTGATTCGTTTTTACAGAAAGTACCGAGGTTTTTCATGTCTAGCAATTCTATAAACTTCTTATTTTGCTCAAGAAGTTATGATATTCAAGAAGTCCTTACAGCGAGCGGAAATCACTGGACCACTCCGGCATAAGACAAGGAGAAATGAAAGATTTGCTGGCGCCTGCTCGAGTAACTCAACAATCGGCTGAATGACAGGTGATACAGGTTGTATAACCACAGCGTAGTGTGGGTAAGAGAAAATTCTACTAGGTTTGTTGTGATAACGATAATGTACTATGAGACAGTTCCCTGCTTTGCCTACCATAATGTAGGTATAGAAACTACGCTTATGAAATCCAAATTATTTAGTTAGCAAGATACTTTGTAGTTTACAGTGGTACGATAATTAGCGCACTAAGTCTCATCCCTCTAGGATTGATCAACGCTGAAAGCCTTATCCTTTATCCTTTTCTTATGATACTGAGATATTTGCAGAACTTGGGCCCCATACAAGATCCGAACCAGCCATTACTCTTTCCGTAGGCTCACTTGTTTACTACGCACTACGTCCTTGCTCCGCCTTCCTCTCAGCCAGTTTTTATCCTAAACTACCGAATTATCTATTAATGCGGAGGTAAATAGGAAGTTGGTGATAGGAATTACTGCAAGATAATAGTAGATTTTAGACTTTTCAACTGAATCAATGAATTCATGAAGGAAGTTTCATTTAGTTACAACGACAAAATTGTTGGCAGCAAACAATGTCTGCTGTGCACGGTCCTAGAGCGAGTGTTTGCTCTCGATAATGTTGTTCGCCTGATGGGCTGACACTGGGTTGAGAACTGTTCCACGTTTCGTTATCATCTTAGTTTATACCAGCTATTGAAGTGAATATATCTCATTTCATCCGTGACGAATTGGAAACTGGACGTTCTTGCAGTACGTTGGACTTACAATGTATGCGTCAACTCATCCATTCATAAGACATGTTTCGAATTTCTAAAACCGCCACAAGAATTGCCGATCAATACCGATGTGATGAGCTCTTGTTTCTTCTATATCTCTTTCAAAATTTGACATCGGAGCTGAGTGGATTAGCCACATTTATGGTCATTTTCATTATAATCGTGGCGTAAATCTCCTTTTTCCCTTACCAGGACGAGATATTCACATTTCTGTTTGTTTCATTCTTCCAGAATGTCGACGGATTCTCAAAAGACTGCTGTAATGAAGCTGGTGACGAACGATGGCGAGAATTTCGACGTCCCACGCGATGTTATACGCCTCTCGACGACGATCAACACCATGCTACAGGATTTGGGCTTGGATAACGAGTCAAATGACCCCATTCCTATCTGTAACGTGTCGGGTCCTATCATGAAAAAAGTATTGCAATGGTGCACATATCATAAGGACGATCCTCCTTGCACGGATGATTCCGACAATCGGGAAAAGCGCACCGACGACATTCCCAGCTGGGATGTGGAGTTCCTGAAAGTCGATCAGGGAACACTTTTCGAATTAATCCTTGCCGCCAATTATCTCGATATAAAGGGACTGCTTGATGTCACTTGTAAAACGGTCGCCAATATGATCAAAGGGAAAACGCCGGAGGAAATTCGTCGTACGTTCAATATCAAAAACGATTTCACACCTGAAGAGGAGGAGCAGATTCGCAAGGAAAATGCATGGTGTGAAGACTAACTGAACACTAATGTTGTTTTACCTGTGTGTGTTTTAGGTGTGAAGACTAACTGAGTACTAATGTTGTTTTACCTGTGTGTGTTTTACCATGTAACTAACTTTACGTAGCGTTTTACTGTTTCCTCCCTCCCCCCACCTTTCCCTCCCTCCTCCCTCCCCTCCTATCCTATCCTCCCCTATCATCTCTCCATCCCCACCCGATTAACTTATTGTACTAACACCCACTAATTTCTCGATATCTGAAGTTGAGATTCGCTCAACATGATGCTTCACCTAGGTAGTATGGTTTTAACAGTTCCTCATCTTTGTGATAGTCTTTGATGCTTCGTAATATATAGATGGTGATAGTGTCATGTGATTTCAAATACGAATAAAACATTTCGGATGTCCTATTAAGAGTGGCATAGTAGCGATTGTAACGCAATCATTTCGTATGCTATCGTTTTTCTCGAGAACTTTGAAGGAGTTGTAACGATCGGTCGTCTACAGAGCTTTGACAGAACAGACGATAGTTTTATAGTTCTATATTTCAGGAATATGGTTCGTTTAGTTTCATGACATACGTAGAACGTCACTACGATCGATATTAGGCAGGGGTTTTCTTCAGAATTTTAGTTTAGGTGGGCGGGGTTACGCTAATGGTACACGTTTGTTTGGATGTTGAATGAATCATCTTGGATTCGGGCATCTTTTTGGTTGATCATATAGTGGTATGTGTGTCACCACACATTTGGTATCACGAGACTTGGTTGCTGGCGTTTTCACTTATTCACTGAGTCGTTAAGACGTCGCCCGTCGTCGAATCCACGTTGAAGGATGTCTGCTATACGAAAAGGTGTACAACGACAACTCTTTCAAACAGACGATGAACGTCTTCTGGCTATTCTGCATGTGATACGGGTTGATGGTCGTAAGAAGAAACGACCGACATTCTTCTGTTTAGCTGGTAAAGTAGTAATTTACCATTTTTGATTTCATTGTTCGTCAGCTGGGATAACAACGTTGCTTCAGTAACGATTGAGCACCCAATTTCTGTTCGTCTCTACTTTGTTAAAGGAGAGAAAGATGATTCGTTTAAGAAAAAAACTAGATTCTACCTACGAGATGTTAAGGAAGTGGATGGAATAAATCCGAAAAAGGTTTCTAATCAACTTCTTTGGTGTTGTTCAGACGTTCTAGGTTTGTTTACTGTTCGAAAGGTGTTGATTGAACGGTCAAATGGCCCGGCTGGCTGTTTTAGGCTTTGTCTGAGTTTCAAATCGTAATCGCTGATCGACGATACAGTATCACAGCAAGCAATCCTGAGGAGAAGGATGAATTTATTCGGGAATTGTACAAAGTGTGTTATTAATGCTTTAGCACTGACTGAGTTAAACTAGACTAAACTGAGCCGTTTGTTTTCAGTTGTCAGCCCAGTATCTTCCTGTGCAGATGCCCGACTTTTGCAATGTATCGATTCCAGTAGATAATCGAGAGATATCCATACTTCCAATTGAAGCTGTTGATGAATCCAATACCAACTTTGTTCATGATTATCAGGTCTCTTATCCCTTTTTATTTTTTTTAACGTCTGAATCTGTAATTGTGTATGCTTTATAAAATTTTAGCCGATTAGCGCCAAAGAGGAGGCAGATTTTAGAAGATTACTTGCAAAGGGGGAACTTACTATTGGTGAGGCTGATAAATTTGCCGAGGTATAACTTTATAGTTCAAAACTTTCAGCTGATATCATCTTCTTTTGTTTTTTTTTTCCGTATTAACTTTAAACCGCCGATTCCTGTTATGTCAGCGATCTCAATCCCTTCTCTCACGAGATAACATTGCACCTTCTTGGGTAGCAGATATGTTTTAGAACTGGACCATGAACGGCCACGTACTTTCCCCTAGGCACAGGCTAATCGAAGAATTAGGTTTCACAGTTCAACTTTGTTGTATTGAGTTTCTTTCCTGTTTTCATTGTTAGATACCCATTCATGCGGACATGGGTGTTTGAATGTATGCGGATTGTTGCATGCACTTGTGTCCCCCTACCCCGCCTCAACAAAATCCTGCTGTTGAGTGGGAATGAATCTATTAAGTCTCTCATTTGCTTTAGAAAGTACAACTACCGATGGGTATACCTAAGGTTCACAGCAAATCCACCAGACACATATCCGTGCCACTAACTTAAAACATTGTGAATAAAGGACGTGGTGAAAAAATTTGGTGTTGTTCGTGTCATTTAAGTGAAAAACGTGGATTTACATAAACTCTTCGATGTTTCTCCATGTTAGACTTACAGATCTTTTTGCATCGTGGACTCCATCAACGTTGTAGAGACAATTCTGTCTCCATGTCCCAGTTCTGTTTTTCAGTTCCATAATCTCCACGTATGAAAAGCTTTCTTATTCAGGAAGTACTAATGGTTTAGATTCTGTCAACTCAACTACAATCTCTTGATGGAGCAAATATTCAGTCAATGATGGGTAGCGAAGTAGCAGTAAATCAATTGCTTGTACTTTTGGATGGAGCTCTTGAAAAGGTAGCATTGTTGGAAAAGGAGATCGACATATGCGATGGGATATTATCAGTTAGTCATCTCTCTATATTACTCTGCTGCAGTGGTTAACGTAATCTACGTGTTTGTTTATGTAAGGATTTTTGAAAGAATCAGTACTAAATCGAACGCATCTCTTAAAATCTACATTTTATTGGTTATGTTAGCTTCAACATGTTATATAGTGTCGATTTGCCAAAGAATAATGACTAAGAAGTCAATGCTAAATTTGTTAACAGTGCATAGTTTGGAGAATATCAGTGAATCTTCTTCGTAGTAAACAATGCGCATGTTTTTAGCATGTGAGGAATAGTGTGGAACTAATTGAGGAGAAAGACAGCCTGTCTGCTGTCGAACGTAAGAATAAGGATAGATTGCAGCAGGAACTGACCAATTTTATTACTGCTCTGGACACTGTCACCGATAACCACATTCGTACGTTGAGGGAGGCAAATCTTAATGACACAGGAAGGTAATTATCAAGTCATTTTTGAAATCTTTGAAATTTCGATATTCTTACTGAAATGGTAATAATGGAATTGGTGTGTTCCTATCCCGCGGAATTATCTTTTTCCAATGGTGAATAAGAGTTTGGACGAGGGCAGGATTTCTCCAATTTATCTACGTGAGCACCATGATTATTTAGCCGCTATCCTGGCATAATACTTTATGTTTTGCTAAATTAGGTCAGCGATTCATCGCCATGATTGTGAGAGTATGTATAATTAAAATAAAAAGCTAATTTAATGGAAGCAAAAACTATTCCTTATTAAAGACTTCTAGTGGTCCACCTTCTATTGTATATTCGTTTCTAGGGGAGCAGTGTTGCTAGTAATGAAGCTTGAAATCGTCTGTTAGGAAAAAACTGATCGAAATTTCTTTCCGAATTGAATGTTACTTTTTCCTTGTCTTCCTGTTGTAGTCTTTCTTCAGCGTTTCCTGGTATATAAGTGCTCGCAACCTTTTATCGTTAACAACAGTGGAACGGTGGATTCTACCTTGAGTCGTCTTATGATTTGCTAGTTCTGCTGCTAGTTAGCTCTCGGTTGTGACTTCGCTTGCTCAGAAATATCCTATAATTTCTTGAGAATGTCTTGGTTGTAATAAGAGATGAAAAATCTGTTACACTTCTCAGTTAAGCCCTTATTGATCCACTGATGCACCGATTAGCCAGTAAACCGTTAAGGGTGAAACGCTTCAAGTGGGTTGAAATGAAACATGTTCAAGATTTTTAGCCTTTCAGCATCGCTTGTTGTGCGGAAGCCGCGCGCGCTGTTTCACAGTTTTGGAATGGATGCATTTCGAAACCCTTGTTGCAGATGAAGGCATACGAAAATCGGAACCGTGACCTAGCTGTAATCGATCTCTTTGTAGATCGATTCATGTCCCATTTATCAGCTATATTCAGTAATCTTGTACGTGTGAACTTGATTCATATATGCGCACAAAGTGGTGCCATGTTTGCTGCTATTCTTTTCTAGAATGATTTATCACTCGGCCAGGATTGGCATCCGCTTTCTATTCCGAAACAGTCACAACGGTTCCATGCTCTCTCACCACTCTCCGATCTCATAAGTTGGTTGAAAACAAATAGGTATGGTGACTGTTCTAAATATAGCATACAGTGCTCCATCGTACAAATTGGACCTATGTACGATGTATGAGATTAATAAACAAGATGTGTAAATGAGTAGTCGCATAATTACTGCTACTTTGCGTCATAGAGCTTTAACGTAAGGCAAGTAGAGCATTTTGATCGCAATTACTTGGAAGTCACTGTTCTAGATTTATCGAATGTTCTCCACAGTTGTTTTCACCTTTAGGCCCACACCTTACAACGCGACTATTCAGCGATACGTGGACTCAACAAAAGTGCTCTACAAACGTCATTTCGAGACATTCTTTGATGCTGTTATTGGGGAAGTGAACAAACTAGGCTCAACGGATAAGCGTCTAAGTTGGTGTCGCAATATTTTGTTATCGACTAAGGCAGAATGCTGCTGCAATAGGCATTATCCCTAGCGAGTGTTTCTGCGATTGTGGAGAAGTTGGCATAGAAAGAGGTTGCAAGCATTTCAAGGTCAGCTGCGAGGTAAGAACAGGAGCTAGCGGCTGCGAAGCATTCTACAGATAGGAAAAGAGAGAAATGGCTTCATGGAGCATTATGCAAATAACGTAGGAAACATATAATAGCTTTGGAATTGGAGCTTTGGAAATAATAGAATTGGAGAGCATTTTCTAAGAGGTAGAGAACAGTCTGTGTAGCATTTGTTTAAATGATTCTTTCTTGTGGTCTCCGGAAAATTTAACTGTCCAGCTGAAATGTTTTCCTGCTGGGATTCCTTTTCATTGTGCATTATTATTATTTTCAGTGTTTCTTTTTTTTTAGATTCATCAAACTTATCTGGCAGAAGCTCTATTGATAGGCAAAGCATTTCTATAAGTGATATTTCCACCGAATATGGACAAGTGTCAGCGGTTGGTTAACATTTTAAGTAATCGTGAGAATTTCTGACTTAATATGGAATATGGCGCAAGCAAATATTTTCTTAGTTGATCGAGACGGTGTTGGGTGAGTTGGGTACGGTAATTGAAACGGAGCAGAAGTTTTGTGTCCGATTCTTCCATATAAATTCCGAACTGCTTTCGAGTGCAGAAACAACATCAACAGACAGTGGTGACAGCTCTAGCTTAGGTGTGCTCTTCATTATTATTTTAGAAAGATTTTTGTTCCATATTTGCATTCTCTCACCTAATGTGTGTGTCAGCCCATTAGTCTTCGCCATTTGCTCACTGATTACTATCGCAGAGACGTTAAGCAACTTTCAGTATTGGCAAATATTATGTGTTGCTCTATCCGTATAATGAGCAATGAATTTCCATAAAACTGACATAATTGTACTTGTGTAATAGAGACATCGTGCACAATAATGCTGAGATATTTGCAAAGCTGAGGACCGCAGATCTTTTGCTGTGGGGAACGAACGCGATATTACCCTTTACGAGGGCTATCGCGTTCCCCACCACACCATATGGGTCCTTCGTTTCGCCTGTCTCTCAGCTATTTTTATCGACCAGGCAATCAGCATTTACCCGTCAACGGATTAATCTGTGGAGCCCAAATCGGCAACGAACCCAGTTTAGCTGAGGCTGTAGTCTAAATCACCATATTATTTTTTTATTTATTGCCTATGCGAAATTCAGTGAGACTAACGTGCGCGTAGTTCTTTGTGAATATATATATATATATATATTTATATGTAAATATACGCTTATTTGGATACTTGGATGGCTCCCGTCCTCACTGGTTGTGCGGGCTCCACTATATTCTCCAATTTTTTTGAATTTTGCTGGCTTAGCCATTGTGGTTTCCTGGATTTTTGAGGTCGGCCAGGCCAAAGTCTGCCTCAGCTGGTCACCACCACAGGCAGTTACCGACCTTGTGGATCAGAGGGAGATCTGCCACCGAGCAAGTACTTCGATATCAGTGTCAGGACGGTGACGGATCCTGGCATTGGTTTACTCTTAACTGGGCTTCCACATGGAAACGCCTGGCTCTTTATCACCTTTGAAGACGCTGCCAAGGAATGAATTCCTCCGCTGTGGATCGCATCCGGGCACCCAGGAACATTTTCCAGCCACGATAAGGCGGTAGACCGTTTTGAGGATTTACATACACATATGTATACATACATATATGTATAATATACAAAACGGACAGCAAAGTGGTAGTGATGTCCGTTATCGCGAGCATGGTGCTAGTTCGATTCTGCTGCGGGTCAACCACCCCTCTCATCACTTTGGGGTCGGGGAATTGATAGGGAACTTGTCGGCGAGAAATCACTCTTTGCAGTCCAATTGGGAAAGCTCAAGTCCGGCTATCTCAGCACTCCAGCGAGAATTGCTCGACCAGCATTCAACGACATTCATGATGAAATGAAAATCCTTGAGAAGAAACCGAAGCGACACGCAAAAACTTGGTAGACTCCGCACAGTAGACGTGAAGGCGGATCAAATAAAATAAAAAATATATATGTACATGTGTATATGTGTTTATATACATGTATATATGTGCATATGTACATGTGTGTGCATATGCGTATTTACATATACATGTATATATACATGTATATATATATTTGTAGGAAGTAACTTCTCATATCCAACCCATGGCACGACGTGCATGGTCGGAAAGCTACCGAGTATGAGACTTCTGCAAAAATTATGGCCATTTTTGTGTAGGAACTTTAAAACGCTGTAGCTAACCTCATACCTAACTTTGTCAATCGTGTAAGAGCTGGGTTTACTTAAAATTTTTAGAGCTATTGCTTTATTATACCTTTTTATTTTCTGCCTACTATAATTTCGCAGCAGGGTACTAAGCGAAATACAACCACAACGTTGCTGAGATATTTGCAAAACTCTGGAGCGCAGGTGTCTATGGTGGGGAACGAACGCGCTATTGTTCTTTCCGGGGAGTAACGCGTTCACCACCACACCATGTGGGTCCTTTGTTTCGCATGCCTCTCAGCTATTTCTATCGATCCTATAACATTATAACAGTTATAACTTTGTGATTTCAACTACAGCCGCAGCTTAACTGGGTTCTATGCCGATTTGGGCGCCCCAGATCAATCCCGCTGACGGGTGATTGCTGTGGCAAAGATCGATAGAAATAGCTGAGAAACAATCGAAACAAAGGACCCGCATGGTGTGGTGGTGAACGCGTTACTCCCCGGAAAGGATAATAGCGCGTTCGTTTCCCACCATAGACACCTGCGGTCCAGAGTTTCGCAAATATCTCAGCAGCGTTGTGGTTGCTATTGCTTTATTTACAACTTCGGTCTCACGAGGCAAGCTAGTACGATTTTAACGATTTGGGCGCGTCATTTCAACCAGTCTAAAATCATTCCAAACTAAGTTTCATCATACATTTGTGGCGAAATTTAATTACATGTCTCATAACAACAAAAACATCCATTACTTTGCACCAGCGTAAAATCTGTTGCGAAAATTGTTTATGTGGCAAAAGGAGCATCCAGAAAGATGTCATATATATGTGATACTAGTCAAAATTCTTCATACGTTTTTTGGCAAACTTCGTATAGTTTCTTCATTCACTGGTATTAAAGTTATGAAGTTGCCAATTCACTTTCTTATTGTTCTGAATATATTATATTCTTCGATGCCGGTTTTACAGGGCGAAATATGGAGCGGTTTATGAATGAACAGGTTCGAAGTGTAATGGCCCCACTTTTCGAATCATTAAATTGTCATTTGGATAGGTTCTGTAAGGCATTGTGTAAGCAGAATGTAAGGTTAGTTTGTCTCTTTGTTCTAATTTTTCTTTTCGCTTCTATGATACTAAAGGTTCTTTAACGCATTAGAAGTTACGCCTTGAGGTTGCTGCCCTGCATAAGTAAATGTCTGCTATCAGAACAATTTGTATTCTTCCTCTTGCAGTAATGTTATGCTGCTTTTTATCATTATGTCGAAGAAGGTGTTACTGCCACAGGAATCTGGATCATACTATTCTGTTACGTTTGGCACATTTGTAGTGCTCATTAAACGGCAATTCGATTTATACATGGTTAGAGGTGTTTTTTCCTTCTAGTTTCTTTCTTTTTGATGGTACAGCTGGGCAAAACGAATGCTTTCAACTGTGACTTTTTTCTCATGGACCATAACGAGCGTCTTTGTTATTTCTCGCTTAAGTCCTTTCAGGAGACAGAAGGCCAAGCCTTATCCGACGTAAAGGTGTCTAAGCGTATACGCTTGGGTATCTTGCCAACAATAGAAAGATTTGCTGAGTTTGTGAGAAACGCGGAGACAATTTTTGAAGGTGCTGAAAGAAGGACAGATCTCGAAAAATGGTACATTGGTAGTTTTATGAATTCGCATCTTGTGTATATATTGAAATATTGCGTCACTTCATTTCCGTCTAGTTACAGGTACGTTCATTTGTATCGCTGTGTATGCGAAGGCATTGAGAAAGCTGCATCGAATCCGAACAGCAAATCACCTACATCAGTGGTTCGCTTTGAAAATTACCATCAGTTATACAGTAAGTGTATTTTGACTATGCGTAATGATTTAGTGCTATATAAAGAGCACAGAGAATTCGTTTAGTGACTCTGTCTGAGCTAAAAATCCCGTGTTTGGATGCACAACGTAAAGATGCGAAGCGGGAAAAAGAAGAGAATGTCGATCTCTACGTAAGGGAGTATATGGGACGACCTTTAGAAAAAATTCACGTGAGTTTTGTGATGTTTTTGTTGATAACGATTATTTAGTTTAATACCAGCTTCATCGACATGCTAGAATGAGTAGTTTCAAAATTTTCTTCTGTGGCAATGTGCCATTTGTGCCAAATATATTCGCAGCCGAAATTTTTTTACACGGCTTTCACATCAATTATGTCGGTCTCAACACTTCTTATATTCGATTCTTTGCCTTGCATCCATCATCACCAAAAGCTTTTCAACTTTTGCGTGTGGGTTTAGCCGCCGGTTTAGGGTTTCCATTTCGTCACAAATGTCTTTGAATGTTGATCGAGTCGATTATCGCTGGAGTCTTGAGATAGCCGGGCTAGTGCGTTCCCATTTGAATTGGAGGGAGTGAGCTGAACCCAAGCCCAAGCAAGTCTGGTGCCAATTTCCCGACCACGGAGCGATATCAGGTCTGGTGAGCTCGATGCGGGATCGAACCAGTACCGTGCTTGAGGTGATTGGGGAAACTACTACTGCGCTATCCGCCCCTTTGTAATGGTTCTAGTGCCCATGTAGGTTTTCCTAGAGCCGTGCTTACCAATAAGCGCTCCTGTAGCATCCTTGAACTAACCATGAGAGGCTTCAGTGCTGAAGTATTGACGGCTGTGTTGTATTTGTTGCGTAGCTGACCGAGTCATGAACTTATACCAATCATTTTTGAACTGCAAAGTGCATTTTTTGCAGTGTAAATTCAAGCGGTAGATGTATCAGCTTTGCTTCTTTCGTTTGCAGGATAGGATGCTACTTTTGGTTTTATTCCACTGTAACTTTTATCACCTGTATTTTCATTAATCGGATAGCTACATAAATGAATGTCTGTAAACTTTACGGTGTGAGGTTCTTTGTTTTCACTGTTTTTGGGATGTTTAAATTACCTGTATCTTCCGTTGTTCAGGTTTATTTTTAGCTAGGTTTAGTGGTTGTTGAACATTTTATTGTACATCGTAGTTCAACAGTTTGCAACCACATGCCTGTAGGCTAGTAGTTGTTCGCGTTAAATAATGTTTTTGAAATTCTTCATGTGTCCTTATATTCGAAGTTTATCACTTTATATTTTATAATATTTCACATTAAATTTCGAACAATGAATCGAAGAGGGTGTACATCAGGTTTTCTTTGATGCTGTTCAAAACGCCATTGAAATGCGTGGTACGAAACCCGACGAGATTTCATATCAGCCTCAGTTCAGCAGAATCGAGTTAAAGAAGGTAGGATAAGTGATCTCCTATCGAGAAAAGTTACTAATTCGTGTTAGTGTTGTAAAATGCACGAATTGCTTTCAAGATTTTAAAAAAAAATTTAGGCTCCTTCTATCGATTTGCGTTAGTTTAGGTCATTGCAATGTATCCTGGTAAAGAAGTTAAGAAGGGATTGGAGCAACTTTATAAAAAGGTGGAAAAACATTTAATCGATCATTCATCTCTGTTACAAGTTGTTTGGAGAGAAATGCAGGTCTGAATTAGTAATGTATCTTTTCATCTGAAAAAATTAGGTCGTTGCACGCACATTCAATTTATATACATTATGTGGACACGCTTATCGATTTCAACATATACGCTGCTGTGAGTTCTGGACCGTACATCTTAGTTTCAATGCGCACGTTTTTCTCTGGCCTATTTTGCCACATAGAACGTTTTTCTAGGCTTTTGTGGTCAATCGATAGCTTATAGAACAAAATTTGATACTGGAGCTCGTTTATGGGATGGTGTTCTCGTTGTTCTGTACTAGTGAAAAATATCCCACGCTATATTTTCGAGCGAGTTAGCCCTTCTGCTTGAATTCCATGGCGGATATGTTGGTTCTTACACGGTAAAAATTAGAGGCTAAAGGAACTTCGTCTTCACGAAAAGACGGCGTGTCAACGAGAAGGCTTTTTATTGACGTGTTTGTAGTATGCAGAGAACCTGATCATCCTCAAAGTGCGTGTTTATCAGTGGGCTAACTACACCCTTTGAGATGCTAACTCAGTCGCAACTCTTATTACACTTTTTTATCTCCTATGTTGTAAACGTTTGGCTCAAAGACACTTATTTTAAAATGTACAACTTCTGGAGGAAACATTACATGGGCGTATTTATAGTATGCAGCGGGAGAAAGCGAGGATAGAGTACGCATTCATCGTTATACAGAGTACTTATTTGGGAGAAAAAACTCATATCAGTAACGCATGTTTTAGTAACACCTTGCTGTTGTCTTAAGCTTTTTACTAAAAGCATTTATTCAACAGCCATCATTTCGTATAACCAGTACCGGTCAACAATTCACCCTTCTTGCATAGAATTTATACTTCTTACATGTAATCAACAATTAATACGTCTACAATAATCAACACTTAGTGCATCGTACGATACTCAATTTGTACTTTTTAATCTTTTTTATAGTAGTACCTCAAATAGACTTTCCACTCGAACTCGTTGAACTCATTTCTTCCCATGAAGATTTTCCTCGCGTCAAGCAAATATGTGTGCGTTTTTAACCGATAGAACAGACGTATATATCTAAACTAAGAAATCAGAAATTGGAGAACAATGGAGTCCCAAAATGCGTGTGCCATTTACACGCTTTCCTAGTATATAGAGAACAGTTGACCATCTGGTCGGTAAGGTCCACAAAAGGCTTCTTTTTGTTGTAACTTTAAAAACTTTAGGTCAGGCTCTCCAGCAATTCCAAGCAGCGTACTAAGTTGTAGTAAATGGAATACTGCCATGAAACATGAGAAGGGTGCACAAGTGATTAACATTCTTACTTGTATAATTAGATGGCCTGTCCTCACATACTGTGTGGGCCCAGCATAATCTCCACCCCTTCGGAGTTTTGCTGGTTTAACCACTGTGGTTCTCTGGAGTCCCGAGGTCAGTAAGACCAATGTCTGCCACAGGTCGTCACCATCACAGCCTGTTGCGGCCCTTGTAGATCAGCGGGAGATTTGCCACCATGCGATCATAGTTTCGTAACAGGACGGTGATGGATCCTGGTATTGGTTTACTCTTAGCTGGGTTTCTTGTTGGAAACGCCGGTTTCCTGAACTTGGGAGACCCTGCCAGGAGAATGAATTCCCCCGCTGTATATCGCAAGACACCCAGGACGTTAGGAATGCGATCGCTCTCATTCGCATATATGAGCGATTAACATACGAGAACAAATCCGAGAATCTCGGAAAAGAAACGAAAATGGGTGGAAAATGGATATTTTATGCACCATTTAGGACTCCCAGACTTCGATTTCCGTGTGTACGCACACCTTCCCTCCTGTTTTAGGGATTTGGGTGCTATTGATTCGTTGTTCTCCGTTCTTTGTCTAATCACAATAATGGGCTTTAGTTACCACACCAAATCTGAGATAACAAAATGCAATACTTCAAAAATAGTGAACCTCGGTAAACAATGTATTTCGAGTGATCAAACAGAGAGCATCTTGTTACCTTATATGTGCACATATATGCACATATATATATATGTATGTATGTATGTATGTAAAGGATAAAGCTCTCGGCGTTGATCAATCCCTGAGGGAGACGCCATGCATTTAAGTTCATTAAGCACCGTTTGGAGGTGATTGAATACATATGTGGCTTTTACAATGGCTCGCAGTGGAGTACCGATGTATCGAGCCAGTGCTGCTATCCTCCCAGACAAGTCTGGTACCAATTGGCCGACCATCCGGAGGGATGGAAGGCTTGGTAGGCCATAGGCGTCAGGATCGATTCCACGTGTGTGTTGCGGGGCACCTCCGACCACTGCGCCACAAGCAGTCTGTATATATATAGATATATATATATGCATAAAACTATATATATGTATATATATATATATGATCTTGAGAATATAAACACATATATGAAAACATATGTACCAATAGTGCAATTAAGTGACGTAGGTTCTCCCTCGCAACAAGCGTTCTCTACCATCTGGTCCATAAAACTATAGCGCAGAGTTTCTTCTTTACATCTGTTAAGCTCACAACTTCTAAAGTGCACTAATGATTGAAAAATTATGGAAAGTTATCGAAGAACTAGCATCGCACGAAGTGTGAAGCACTATTGTTGACTTTTTATATACTACATATTTATATCTACTTTATTTACTATACACATAGTATATGAAGTATATATATGTAGAGTATATAGTATATACCATATATATTTATATATATATATATATACTATTTTTGGCAAGCAGTTCGTCATTTTCCAATTTTTAGTTGCGATGATGACTGTTAGGTACTGAATGGAGTGGGAGGATACTAAAGCCCCAAAGTAACCATCATAATATTTCTTGTACAACGTAGAAAACTTGATTAAATGCCGATAGCGCTATTCGAGATTTTAGATGAGTTTTTTCTTTCACCATATACGAGAATTAAATGTAGTTTAAGAACATGGTAGCATAATCAGAAGATCACATCGGATACGCTGAAGTAGCAAGACATGAAAAATTTATGAGCAACCGAACAGTAGAACGACAATCTCAAGAAACCAGTGCGTCGTGGATCCTGCACGGGCCCACGGATTATACATCTCGATTTCAATGCGCATTTCAATTGCGCTACAATGACACGCTGTTTGAATGGTCGTGCTCTTAAAGGGGCTAATAGTGATGTCACATGATTTTTCTCCTATAGGGAATTGAGGGAATATAAAATTGAGAGGCGGGACGAAATCAACCGTCTGTTAGTATCGTGACGGAGGTGCATTCAACGGTGTATTCTCTTTAATGGTGCTAAGATATTTGCAAAACTCCGGACCGCAGGTGTCTGCGGTGGGGAACGAATGCGCTATTGTCCTTTCCGAGGAGTAACGCGTTCACCACAACACAGTGCGGGTCCTTCGTTTCGCCTGTCTCTCAGCTAGTTCTATCGGTCTTTTGCCATCAGCAATCACCCGTCAGCGGGAATGATCTGGGTAGCCCAAATCGGCAGCGAACCCAGTTAAGCTGAGGCTGTATTTATAATCACAATTTTAACTTATTATTTACTGCCTACTCTGTATTTGCTGGAAAAATGGTGTATTGTCTGTCTTTGTTCTGCCGGATTAACATGTGTTTTCTCTATGCTTTATGTTGTTAAGGTAGTGCTGGTTATCGGGTTGTTTTCTTAGCTTGGGTACGGGATGGTGATCCGTTATTTTAATTCACCATTCATAATTTGAATACTATGGAGTGTCCGTCTCCATATAACAGAGAGTGGCCGATCATTACGAATCAAAGTAATCAGAGTTGATACTGGTATTCTCCTCGGACGGTAGCTAATCGAGGAGTTGTGGGTGCGATTACGTAAATGCGTCTTGTAAACTGCACGATAAATACTCCGAGGTCACCTCTTGTAAGTAGGTATGTGTGCTTCATGCTTTCTTCACGAGTGCCTTATTCGCTGTTTATGTGTATAGCTAACTATTCCATTCAGTGGCTTGCAAGCTGTGTGTATTTGATATTTAACGAAAAAGAAAATCATTAGAAATAAAGGGCGTTACAGGAAAACTGTTGTGCTGTCCGTGGTTCTCAATTGACTAGAACCCCACTGGGCGACTTCGAGCACTACAAATCGTGACTTGTGGTTTCCCACACGCTTTCATTTCATTAGAGAACGAACAGAATTGCAAAAGTTATAGGCGATGAAAAATAGTTCGCTAATATCATTTTGCTGTTTACTTCACTTCATTACTTGGAAATCGGTCCAGAAATTTTTCTAAAAGCAGTTGTATAAGTGGAAATTTAAGGATCAGTTCTTGAAGCAGCTTCAAGGTTACCAACGATTGATGAGCATTTGCTATCCGGGCTCAAAGATTGATCTGGAAGTGAGCGTACAAGACGTTCTTAGCTACTTCTCAGATATTGCCCAACAACATTAAATTGGGCCGTGTTTTTCTTTGTGTATATTTGCAGGTTCCATTTGTATAATGTAATATGTCAATTTGAAACATTTAATTTTTTGTTTATAGAATAGTTTGTTTCATGGCTCTATAATTATTCCACATTGGTCTTTTTTATGCCACATTGTTGCCAATTTAGGTGGTAGTTAATAAAGTCTTCGGTATTTGAATGCATAGTATTCACGCAATTGGTCCTTCCATCGTTCTTTATTGGATCCAGCTATGCCTTCGCAGTGAAGCTTTCTCGACGAAGCTCTGAAGTTTAGGAGTTGATTGCCAATTGCGACGAAAAACATGGTGAATGCACCCTTCTAATCGAAGTGTTAGGAATCTGCATCTATCACGGATGTCTGTGCATTTTTTCAGAACGTATTAGATTTGATTCAATGAAAGCACAATCCAAGCCGATAACCAGTGCCACTTTGAAAATAGTTTTCTTAGTAGGGTAATGAAATGTAAAAAAAAATTATTTAAAGCTATTGAGGGGCAATTCTAGTGGGCAGTAGAAAACTCCATTTATTCACGACACATACTATTGGAACTAAATGGGTGAGGCTCTTGAGTGTTCAACCGCAGTGGTTCCTTTGTGCAGAGCTCTAGTAAGAAACAAATATAGTCGGCGTTGGAAAACAATTTTTGCTCGTTTCGTTCTTAAAGGCATGGCAAATAAAGCCAGTGGTCGGAAACGAACGCGGGACCTTCTCCGATATGTCCCACTGTCTGCTCTCCTTAACAAAGACACGTTTTATACCTTTCGCTTTGAAATGGATTTAATAACGATAATGTCCTACTGTATTTTTATTAGCGTCGTTCGATATGTGAGGCACTCAGCCAAGAGAACGTAGCAACGAAGCGTTCTTAATGTAGGGACAGGTCGGCTAATCATATGAAGACTACTATAACGCTGAGATATTTTCAAAACTCCGGACGGCAGGTGTCTGCGGTGGGGAACGAGCGCGCTATTGTCCTTTCCGGGGAGTAACGCGTTCACCACCACACCATGCGGGTCCTTTGTTTCGCACGTCTCTCAGCTATTTCTATCGATCTTTTTGCCACAGCAATCACCCGTCAGCGGGGTTGATCTGGGGAGCGCAAATCGGCATTGAACCTATTTAAACTGAGGCTTTTTTTAAAGTGGGTTCAATGCCGATTTGGGCTCCCAGGATCAATGCCATTGATGAGTAATTGCTGTTGGAAAAAGATCGATAGGACTAGCTGAGAGAGAGGCGAAACGAAGGACCCGTATGGTGTGGTGGTGAACGCGTTACTCCTCGGAAAGGACAATATCGCGTTCGTTCCCCACCGCAGACACTTGCGGTCCTGAGTTTTGCAAATATCTCAGCGTTATAGTAGCTATATTTCGCAACATACCCTGCTGTTAAAAGGAATAGGAAGTAAATAAAAAGGTTAAGACATATGTAGACTTTTGTACCAACCTCATGTCAGCTCAATCATGTACGAAATTACTGTTTGTTATCACCAAGGTTAAATTAAGGCCGGTTTTTAAGATATTGCCTCGCAACACACTAGCAAATGAAGTACCAACTGTTACATAACGCACCTTCCGGCAAAAAGTAAATCATATCAGATAGCGGCAATAGGTCAATAACCGTGGTATAAGAATTGCCACCGCAGAATGAGGCTTCCCAGTCGAGCGATGCTTCCCCTATTGGATTCGATTTGGGACCATCGGCTTGGATCAGAGCGGATCTGAAGAGTGCAAAGATACCAAAACCGTAGCCGAATAGAAAAAAGGGGCAAAGTGGTCGGCGTTTATCAATCTCTGAGGGATGCGCCATGCATTCCAATTCATTAAGTAGTGTTGGAGGATTTAGTGGATATCTGGCCTTTACAATGACTTGAGGTGACCTACCTATGTATCTAACCAGTGCTGCTATCCTCCATACAAGTCTGGTACCAATTTTCCAAGGATGGAAGGCTTGGTTAGCCTATGTCGCGGGGATTGGTCCCTTGTGTATTGCAGTGCGCCTTCGACCACTGCGTTACACACGATAGCCGAGTGACAATTTTTATACCAACCTTTTGTAAGCTATATCGTGTAGGAAATCATTCATATTAAAGAAGCTTAAATTCAAAGAAGAACATTTGATGCGAAATCTAGTTTGAATTATCCACTTTCGGCGAAGCAATTTTCGGCGTATTATCATCGCCTTCATGACCTCAGTCGGTCCATATATTTATGACATAATCAATATGCTGTGGTCCTTTCTTACTTCACCACCTTTTTAAATTGGATGGAAACATTCGGAGAAAATGCCACCATCTCCCAAAGGATTTACTGCTGATAATCGATACACTTTTTTTGACATTTTGCATGACCCGTCATGACATCCACTGTGCGGATCCGAGTGCTTCTTGCATTCAATCTATTTTCCTCGTACTCAACATACACTAATGTTTTCGGACACTTCGCATCTTTCGGCTGCTGTTAGAGGACTTCGTCTTCTTTATGAATGTCGCGAAATATGCTCAAGTCGATTCTCACTGTAATTTAGGGGATAGCCAGGATAAGACGTTCCCACTTACGTAGATTGGTCGAGAGCGTTGTGGAGGGAGTCTCTAGCTAGCTTTGCTTCGTGATCGACGACATCACTAAGCAATGCACTACTATAGCAACTATTCCCAGAATAGTTTCTATTTCTTTCTATATATTTGTATCTTTCTACTACTGTATGTTTCAGTATTAAGGATCATATCCACTGTTTCTCAAGTTGCCTAGCAAATGTCGTAGTACGTAAATATTTCGATCCCTCCTTTGCAACTTCGATCGCTGTAAACAGTCTTGTTATGCAAACCTATTTTTGCGGTCTGAACTCGTTGTTTGTTATTACTGTCCAAAAGTCATCACGCGTACAATAACAAGAAGGGCATGAGGATGTTTTGCGAGAGGAGTATTCCGCCAGATGATATGTGGTTTTGAGAGGATATTGAAACGGTAGCCGACGAATGTTTTCGGTAAAGATGTTGGACCTGTGCCAAATACCGCCTTCTCCAGAAGCATATAAATAGGCTCGTTAATTGTTATCCAGGTTCGCCCTTGTCCAGGATCGTCGACCATGGAGGTTCGACCTCGTCCAGGATCGTCGACCATGGAGGTTCGACCTCGTCCAGGATCGTCGACCATGGAGGTTCGACCTCGTCCAGGATCGTCGACCATGGAGGTTCGACCTCGTCCAGGATCGTCGACCATGGAGGTTCGACCTCGTCCAGGATCGTCGACCATGGAGGTTCGCCCTTGTCCGGGTTCGTCGACTATTCAGGTTCACCCGTGTCGGGGTTCACCGGCTCTTTAGATCTGTACCGTATTGGTCTCGTGTGTCACCAATGTAAGTTATCGCAGTTGTTAAGTCATACAACACGTAGTTATTATTGTACATTAACTTCATCATATCATTGTTAAATGACGGTTGCGAATTGTACATTAGTTTAGCATCACCGTCACTACGTCATGCTTTTCATCAGCCCAGTGTATCCTTATCATCATCATCATGATCCTCATCATCGTGTGAATGTTCATTGTTTATCAATTGGTCTGCGGTGTGTTGTCAGTAGCGGCGGCTATCCTCAAATGCGTTCTGTCTGAGACATCGGTGGCATGTACCATTCCTTCCACACGGTACGCCATGCGTACAAGGCCGCTAGCCAGCCAACTTATGCTGTGTATTTGTTAAGCCGCTATAGGCTTATCATTTCTCAGTCGTTATCTTTATGGTCAATAATCTCTTAGGCAATGGTGGCACCCATCGATGCTCACTTCACGTTGCAGACATATCGTTATCCAAGAGCAGCCGTCTGACCGTGCTACGCAGAAGTCTTATCTCGTTCGTAATCATTTCCACCATCGATGCTTAGGTAACTTGCTATCCTCATCGATTAATGTGCAAGTGCACCCAGCCGCTCTACATACGATCCCTAGCTTAACCTACTGCAGGGCTCATCTGCATCTCACTCGTCTGTTGTTCTAGTCTTCGGCATCTGGCCACTGTACGCGCCAGTACGGGCGCCATCGTTCGTATCTCCTTATCATTGTTATCAAGTTGCTGCTTTCATAGTACTAATGTTGCAGTAGTATTATTTACAATACTCTTATGCCTTCGTAAGCGTCGCATTAGTAGTAGCTACAGCACCTCATAGCCTTGAACTTGCCTTATTTGTCTGTCAGTAGTTCTCCGTCGATATTAGCGTTGTATTGATGTTGCATTTAAGCATATAAATGGTTTAAGTACCCAAGTTTGAGGTATTGCCTTGTGACAACTACGAAAAGTCCCGCGTGGCATTTTCTCACGAAGTCGAGCATTCTGCTAAAAGCTAGTGATTATTCGGTGCCGAGAACTGACGTGAAGGCCTATTTACGACTAGCAACTGCAATAACTACCCTCATCCTCGATAGTTGATAACTTTTTTAAACTTCAATCGATCAATGGACACTGTATCATTTTGCCCTGTTCCTCGTATAGCATTCGCTATTGATTGCCTAATATCTTACAACCGCTCAAATAAAAATACTACTATTTGTAGAACAAGAAGAACAAATGAAATACTATTATACTTTCTTATCAATAGGTCTCAATTTTAAGATCTACCATGAGCAGAATTTAAGTAAGTTTTTCTGTTAATATTTTCATATTATGGCTAAGATAGGAAATCCCGTTCTTCTTCAGTGAAGCAGAACATTTACAGCTATAAAACGCTGCTTAAGAAGGGCGGGCTTAGAGAATTCAGTAAGCGTAGGTAGTTGAAATACCACCGAGTAATCTTAAGCGCCAGCTAGTTCGTAACCGCCTATATGACCGTCTATGTGCAACTCAAAATTGCATAATTTGCCCCAGTGGGAGACGGTGATTGCATGAGCTCGGGTATAGTTTATCTGATCTCCTGTAAGACGTGTGGTGACGAATACATTGGCGAAACGGGTAGACCCCTCTGTGTCCGCATGAAAGAAAACCTAGCCGGCAAAA